TATTTATTTCTACAAGGCAAATTTATATCCCTTGACAAAATGACGTTATGGTCATTGACAATTATTGATAATCATGTTTTATATCTACATAATTTCAGCTTGACACCATACGTAGAAAAACTTTGTAAAAACTATGTGAAATACCCTACGTAAGTGAAGTTCAGTGACCTGGAGTTTCCTTAGAAAATGATCAAATTATCTTAGAGTAGGACAAAGTTAGCAAGGCTTGAGAGTAACTTCAGAACGTTCTTTTTTGTGATTTCAATATTTCTATGCCTGCCAATCAGTGAAGCTTTTTTTACTTGAGCAATTCTATGAAATTGGCGCTCTACTTTTGCCTTAACATTTTTTTGTAAGATATATATATATATATATATATATATATATATATGCGCAATTGCGCATGCTCGCTAGTTTACTCTAGTTTGGGCGCTCTGGCATGGCTTAAAGGATACCACAAAGGTTGGGTCGTTTGGGGTGACCGTCTCGGTTCTCTCCACCCTGGCGTCAGCACTGCTCTGATGAGGCCCAGAAGGACGAAACAGTACTGTCTGATTTGTTGTGATCCCAATCACCGTATCTAAATTATCCAATTATTATAATCAATCATTGTAAGCAATCAACTACCTCTGTAAATAAAACATTGATAAAAAAAAAAAAGTACCGTCTGCGGTTAGTTAAATATATACATATATATATTTTTTTTTAATAAAGAAACGTCATATAGTAAACTGTTAAATGTATCGGTGATAAACGCGATACAAAAGGAACAGTTGTTATAAGTCCACTCATGCTGCGAAGAAATATCAAGACAGGCTATTCTCAGAAGATGCTATTTCAAAAATGTTTTCAATTGCGCCGAATTTACTCATACAACGAATTTACTCATACGACAAAACACGACAGAGATCCAATCATTTTCTAGCAAAGCAATATTTCCTATTTTTCATTTTTATTATTATTGTTTATCAAGATGAAATAAAGTGGACCATTTTAGTTCGACTGCATTATAATTTTACTCAGCTATCCGATCTTTTTTTGCATCTTGTTTTATTTCTTTTTAAATTAAACATTTGGATAGTGTTTTTGTTCAATTTAATTACCTTCAGCTTCTCGGTCATAATACTATCAAGTGGTACTCTAGTCAAATATAGTTGATTGATTGTTCGATTTGTTTATTTAAAGGTTTCTTCATTATTAATTTAATACGAAGTGTTAATTTTTCAGGGAATCCGAGGTAATCTGACGAAAACATAGACTTCAACACTTGGAAGATGTTCTGAAGCCTATCCTTTGGTATTCTGGCCTTCGTCATCTTCACTGGAAACTCGCTAACCATCGTCATATTTACCACATGCAGGCTTCGCAAGCGTCCATACTTTCTTTTGATGGGCTTAGCCACAGCAGATTTGCTGGTTGGACTATTATCCATTCCAGTTTACATAACGTTGCACATCCAATACACCACAAAATTCTTCATTGTTTTGTTTGACTCTATCGACATGTTTTCTAGACTCGCATCGATTTTCATCTTGCCTTAATTTCTTTAGAAAGAATGCACGCCATTAGTTGGCCCCTACGTCACCGGTCGCTTAGTAAATGGATTCATGTTGTGGGTATTGCCCTACCCATGATGGATTTTAGCTGCGATGGTTTCGTCGACGAGGTTTCTCCTACACTTTTCTGTCATAACTCGGTGTCATTTTATCATCCAGCCCGTTTGCAATTATGATTTATTGTTACCGCTTTATCTGGAAAAAAATTCAATCTCGATCACCAAATCCATATAGATCTAAAAGTGACGAGAAGTTAAGCAAAACTTTATTGTTGCTGACAGAGTGTTTCCTCGTCGCGTAGCAGCCATTTGAGATTCTGGTTGTTTTCCTTAACCTCCGCGTTCCTTGTCGACAACTCCCTGTGGTAGTAGTGTATATCATCAAGTTTTTACACAACAGCAATTCAATCGTTAACTTTATTGTCCATCCTTTCAGAATAACTGAGTTTAAACAGGCAGTTATAAATCGCTTTCCTTGGAAGGGAGGAGAGCTAAAGCAGCAGTTTAGTAATGGCATTACTATGCTTTCAATGACAACCTTAACAGATATTTTCTATTCCTTAAGTTTTTATCCTACAATGGAGACTTCGCATCTGTAATAAATATCCCCTACGCTCTCTTTTTGGGAAAAGAAATACGGAAAGCGTAGAATGAAGGAAAAAAATTACTAAGAATTCCTTGACTATATTTCTTTTTAAGCACCATGCAACAGACAACTTTCCACTTTGATTTTGAGCCAGACCTTCAACATTAATAGGGAATGGGTTCGAGTGCCAAGAGGTCAAGGTGCTGAATTTTTTACATACATCTATGTTCTCACTACATCTTCCTATACGTTCTCATCCACGAGACTGCTCTAAACATTGATCGCTGACAGAGCTCACCGCAACAATTTTTTTTTTCATGCAGGGAGAAATGCATTATTTAAACATGACGTTAAAATGACTGATTCAGAGGTGTGATCACAGAGATGACCTGTGGACTACAGTGTCGTTTCCAAAAAATGTATTATTGATAAAAGAAAGCTCATAGCTTTTTACTCTTTTCCTATTATCTTGTTTTTTAATGCAGAAAAAGTTCATGTTTATTTCTTCGATTCATTCTCTAGTAATACCCTATTGGACTATTTTCATATGATATATTTTTCATGTTGTGTAAAGTCAGTGTGCTGGTGAAGGAAATAAGTGAGATATTGGACTGCTTGAATATAGTAGGTTTAAGCTCCCGTTGCCAAGTAAGACTGCGTTTGAGTCTCAGAATAGTTTCAAGAACTATTTTCCTATAAGTTGGCATCCGTAAGCAGTAGATGATAAAATTGATGAAAGAATTACTAAACTGGAGAAGCTTGATTACGTAAACTATCACACCAGGGATGCCTCGACAGGATATGCAGATATTAAAAATTATAACCAAAATTTGAAACGGAAGCCATGTTAGGAAAAACGTTCCCGTAATCAAGAGCAGTACATAAGCTAACTTAGAGTTACTTCTAGCTCTCAAGTCATTTAGTGGTCTAGAAGCTTGCAAATTCCCGATGATGCCGTAGGAGATGAAAGATGTCAATAATGGAGTCGATAGGCTGACAATCATAACAGCTACGAAATGCTGAGTTGTCATGATGCCAAAATAAAGCAGCACACGCGTTGACGTCACGATAATAGAGAATGCCCATGGCATTACCACGGCAATGATGTAGCTTTTGAAGGAGAGCTGCCGATGGTGGAGGGGATGGGCAATAGCATAAAGCCGTTCAACAGAGATCACGGCCAAGGTAAATACTGACCAAAGACCTGTAAACATGTCGACGCAATCAGAAACGAACTGTGACAAAACTCTTTCGTGCGAGATAGATGTTATCATAAGAATCGGTATCGCAAATATTCCAACCAAGAGATCAGCAAGGGCCAATTCTACAAGTAGATAATGAGGTCGTTTACGAAGTCTTCGCCTCAGCAGAACTGAAATGGAGAGACAGTTACCTACGATGGTTACAACTGCTACCGATGCAAAACATATACTCCAGAAAAGATTCCATCTGTGGAAGTTCATATTCAATGCAGGGTTAAACAGTAGTTCCTGAAACATAGAGGAATAATTATATTGATTCATCGTATCATGACAAATTAAAAGCTCGCAAAGGAGAAGAACTGCTTCGTGTTTGTAAGTTTTTTTTTCTATCAAAGTTGTTATTTTGGTCACTTGGAGAAAGCCAATTTGTCATCTCGTAGTCCACCGTAAATGGAGGGAATTGTATTTGAAATCAACGTTAAGAAAGCTAGGTAAAAGCCCTATTTAATCTAGAGCCACTCAATGATGTGGTTGTTATTATTTTTCTTTTTTCATACGGATTTATGATGAGTGCATGCTTAATCGATTGACTACACAACTGTTTGTAACAAGGGTTTGCTAGATATGAAAGAAAATTATCGCTAGTGACAAATTGTTTATCGATTTGAGGTCGAGAAGTAAAATTTTCATTCATTCAGTTTTGACCGTCAGCTTAAGATCACTTTTTGAACAGATCGTTTCTTGACAAACCGATTCTTAATCTTCTTTACTTTATAGTTATTTCTGTTTTTGTCGAGACTACAGGGAAGGAAACAATATATGAGGAAAAATAAAGACAATCGCTTTCAGACTGATTTAGGATTAACACTTAGTAACCGTTAATCTAACACATCTTAGCTTTTGAGTAGCGTTATATCGCACTAAACCTTTAGTCAGTTTACTGCAGAGGTTCATCTTTGCCAAAGGTTAAAATCTAAAGGCTTTAAAAGTGGATGAAAACCATACGCTGATCGAAATCAGCTTAAGTATATTAAAGTTTTGGCCTAGATAGCAATCTTAACCACAAAACCAATATAAATCAAGAAAAAGAAAATTGCCATCATCGAGTAAAAAGTTCTTACCTTAAATGTGTGAGTCATGCAGTTAGAGCACGATATCGTTACTGATGGAGATAAGCTTATCAAGCATCCAAAGATATGAGCAACTGAAATATAATGGTAATCTAAAAGCATTTTTTTCGTGCTGTGAGCGACAACCAATATGATTGTGAAAATGCTCTAAAAGCCAATACTTGGTTAAATCAAAAACAGGAAAACGGATGGATAAAGTGCGTCAAAGCGCTCTGCAGTCGTGCTCACGTCATCTCTCCTTTTCGTATTTAAATTAATTTTCCTCAATGATCTATTCTTTTATAGCAAGAAATGTGTTTTCCTCCTCAAAACCGAAAACAATTGCAACATTTAATTGCTTATCTGTTATCATGCTTCTAAAAGTTAAAGGGAAAGAATTATCGCTGGGTTGAAAACTTAACCTTTATTAGGAATATATTAAAAAAAATGCATCACAAATGACATCGCTAAAAGAAGCACGATGGCCTGACGGGTATCACTGGTAGTTCTTTGTTGGGTAAAATATTCGCAATTTAATCCTGATGCAAAGCAATGGGTTTCTTGGTATAACCATTACAACAGATTCCATTTGTTTTTACTAAACTTACAAATGCAAATGATGCTGACAACCCTGAAATATCCTACTTACTCAATGCGCCGACAGAGTGGGTTAGATATACTTGCAGTGAATGTATGTGCTGCCTAGCACAGACGCTGAAATGGGAAAATGGTCCAGGAGCTAGCCCACAATTCGATTATTTCTAACATAAAAGGGGAGTAAGTTTCTCAAGAAACTATAGTGGGAAGTCTGTGGGAAGTTTGGAAGTTGGCCTCCTTAAAGATTTCTGGCGCTGACTTTTCGAGCGTTAGCCCTTCGTCGCATGTTTACATTGGGTATCGATAGCCCGACTAGGGAAAAAAAACAAGTTTTTCTAAACGGATTATGGCTTCATCTGTATTACAGACCCTTAATTTTATAGAAACCATTTCCATGTTTTGAGTAACATTTGCATTGGTTTCCACCTCAGTAAAAGAAATGATGTAAGTAAGTGAATCTTTCAGGGTCAATATGTATATTCCTCCTTGTTTCAGAAATTGCTGCTCGTCTGTGACTATATCTGGTTTCCATTTACTTAAGTAATTATAAACCACCTGCTGTGGGTAAGATGAAAGTGAGTTTTTTTAATCCTATGAACTTCCCTTGTTTTGATACCAACCTCGGCAAGGTTAAGAATACTCTGATTAATTAAACCTGCCTACTTGATTGGCCCTTCCAGCCGCAATGGTCTGCTATTTTTTTCATTATTCTCATTCACTTAAGTAATTATAAAGCTAGGCCGCTGCGGTAAAGCTGAAAGTGCTTTTTATCTAGTTCCCATATTTTGAAACAAATATTTACACGGCAAGGAATAAGCAGGTGAAAATTGAGATGTGAGCTTTGATAATCAATTTACACCCTTTCCTTTCATTCCATTTACTTAATATGTCATTATAATCCTCGGAAATTATCGACATGCATAGGTACTAAGATCACATTGCCTTTATTTCTCTTATTGTTGGCGCATACATTAAACACCATCATATTCATCATTTACCCACCAAGAAGAATTACCAAGTATAAAACAGGCAAATCAGTAAATTGGTCACTGAAGAAAAGAGTATTTTATTTTTATGTCATAAACTGAGTAGAGCGGAAGATCACAATCACGGAGCTCCATATTCTTCAAAATATTTTCTCGTCAAAGTTTATTCTTTTCCGATTCTTTCAGTCTCATTCGCCGTGTTATTTTCATCTTGGTAAGTATTTACAACAATAGACCTATAAGGAGATTTAGAAGAGATATTTAGAAAGTGGTGATTAAGCTTAAGGCGAATAATTTGTTTACGGATTATACCTCAGGTGATGATAAATGCAGTGGAATTTTTTTCATGTGCTATCGTACTTTATGTATACATCTTTCCTTAAAATTCAGTCTACTAGACAAACAGCAAAGATTCATCATTTTGCACTAAATTCTATAGTTAGCTGAAAATTAATATAAGTCGAACTCTCGAAGTAGCAATTTAAGAAAAAAAAAGAAACAAATAACTGAAACTGAAATATCCAAGCCACTAAAAATTTTCCTATTTAAAAGCATGCATAGTTATAAAGATAACCAGGAGCGAGGGTTTTGGTGAAGTTTAATCATCTGCAAAGTCTTTCATTGACGTCTTTTTTTCATCGATTGTCACTTTTTTCGAGTCCAAAGTCCTGTTAGGCTTTTCTTCCCATCATACAAGATAATAAATTGATGAATGTGATTGACTGTAGGGCAAGGGGTATTTGAATCAAGTCTGAGATACCTACGCGAAAAAACTACGCTTTCTATGATAATAGCCCTCCCTTACTTGTCCACTCCTCCCTTTATAGAGACAGTTCAAACTTGTAACTTAATATTTTCGCGGTAGGTCGGAAACGAACTTAAGCATTGAGATTTACGTAAAAGAAACCAAGTAAAGTTTTAAGGTGAGCGTTCTTTCGGCAGGTATACTAAAAGGGTGACCAGGTAATTGACTTTGACTCGATATGCAGATCAGACTTGTGTCATGCCCAAGAAAATTTCCTCTTCTGCCGTGGTTTTTCATAGATTGATAACCTGTAAGATTCCATGCCAACAAAATCAGCTTTATATCTGATTGATTTGAGCACCCATTACATTTTCTGCGTTTTCGCTTTGTCCTTGCCTGCAGCGGTTTACAGACACCGAACTCGAGAGGGAAACTATTGTGACATTTGTGTTTTGATGTTGGAACAAAGGGTGCACTTGTGTTTGAGAGACAAAGCAGTTGCAGCTCCGAAACAATGCAGACAACGCCCTGCGATATACTGGCATTCGAACACAATATATGAAGAAATTGACGACCGAGTTGCTGAACTGCAAAAGCTTAATTAGGAATACGACTGACACAGGTACGCTTCTACTACATAGAGCGCATTTATGAATAACAATGACCAATACTTGGAATGGCATCCACGTTAAAATGAACATGCCAGTTATTAGGCACACCGTCTTGGACAGTCTGGCTTCGCTCCTTGCTCTGTAACCTCGGTGTGGTCGAAGGGTTTCCTTATGCATAATGACGCAATAAGCAAGACACATCACGCACAAAGGTGTCGACAAGCTTAGGATAATAATGGACAAGAACTGCTGTATTGTTATGACGGCCGACTGTAGCAGCAGGCGAGAAGACGTGACGGCTACTGCTAGAATCCATGGTACTATCAGTGCAAAGGTGTAACTGCGTGAGGTCAGCAGTCGATGGCGTAGAGGCTGGGCAATTGCGCTCAGTCTTTCAAGGGATATTAAAACCAAAGTAAACACCGACGAAAATCCAGTGAACATGTCCACGCAATCAAAAGCAAGTACTGTAACAAATCTGTTTCCAGATATAACGATGATCATGTAAATAGGCATTGCAAAAACACCAACCAAAAAGTCCGCAATGGCTAAACTTATCATTAAGTAATGCGGACGTTTGCGAAGCCTGCGCTTGAGAAGGATCATAATGGAGAGACAGTTTCCACTGATTATCAGGAAGGCAACTGCTCCAAAGCAGATACTCCAAATAATGTTCCATTGGTTGAAGTCCATTGTGAGTTCTTTTGTGAATTGATCTCTGTAGTAATGAGAAATAAAAAAAAAAAACTTTGCTTTTTGTTCGAGGAGTTTGTGGAGAAAACCTCCCGAGCCATGTCTCAGGGATATCGAATCGAATGAATGCCGTCTGGAAAATTTCTTTACGAGCTAATTATAACGAAGTAGCAAATACATCAATAGTGATTTGAATTATAATTTCGTGCCAATAATTCGATGTTTTCTTTTCTGTGTTTCGCCTGGGCTACAACAACAACAATAAAATGCAGTATCTTGTTTGCATATGGCCGCTCAAAGCACCGTCGATCAACAAAAGAAAAAAAACCATTAAGCAAAGAAATATTTCAAGCAATCAATCAATCATCTAGCCAGACAATCAATCAGTAAAAAGGGCAGGAGAAGGAATCCAATAGAGAATCGACACACCACTCGATTAATCGACTTTTGCCCTGTTGTCGTTGTTTTCCAACGCAGGTTTTGTTACGCGAGTAAAAGAGGGAAATGAGCATAGAATTGTGTTAGTTGTGTTAGTTATAGGGTGACCTTTGCCCAAATTTTTTAACATAGCACGATCTTTGTGACAAGCTCAGAGCCTCAAATATTGCTGTCTTCTTAAAAGTAGTCCCAAGGAATATACTGGGTTCAGTCTGTACTACAAAACTAACGCTAGAAAAGCGTTTGGGTCACCTAGAACATCAACGTATCCTAAAAAGTTAAAATGAGCTACAATATTTGTCTTTATCCAAGGCGTCAACGATGGCAAATTGCTTGACCTCCACTTATTTTCGCGTTTCCGAAATTCATACGATTTCCAATTTACAGACCTCTTATTTGGAATGATTGATCAAAAAGATAGTTTTAACTGATTTGTCCATCTGTAACTGGTCCTAAAATAACTCTTTCCCAGCTATGATCAGAATGGCTCTCGAAGATTTGCCTATATATATATTGTTTTAGGTTTATATAAAATCTTACCAGGATTATTTACGAGCACTTGCCACTGTTCGGCAGATCAAACAGACTATATCCATCGTCTTCTCGCCATTATCAAATGGTCATGAGTGTACAAGCCACATCAGGCATGGTCAATAGCTTCTGATGTGATTTCAGGGCAGCAAAACGGCCATAGTATCAGCATTGGTTGAGCGGATTCGCTAGATTACCATGGAGTGAACTTGCTGAAGCAAGTCTCCATAGGTGATGAAAATATTTGTTTACGTAGCAAGAGCAAATATTTTTCTCTTTCTTTATCGCAATTATTATTGACGGTACTTTTGAAAGAAATAGAGGAAATTTCTTAAAGGTAAATATGTCAGATCCTCTCATCCCTTTGAGCGAAATTTAGAAGGAAAATCAAATGACACTAAAGAGTAACCTTCTAAAAGAGGGATCCATTTTAGAGCTTCCCTTCCTCATTACACATACCAACAGCTGATTGTTGAAGTTATTTGAGATATTTTTCTTCTCTTGGTTTTAGGAATTCACAACAATATTATCTGTGCAGATTGGAAAGCGTCAAAATACGTTGTTGACTAATCTGCATAAAATAACTTGTATCAGACACAATTTATTCTGACCTTTATACAACACTTAGATGTTTTTTTTTTGTGAAACACTAAACGTTTTTGTTGTGTCGAAAATCATTAATTACAATACAAATATTGGACGGAAAAGGCAATCAAGAAAATGACAGTGCCAACCGGTGAAAAAATATTTGTTTGCTAAACTTATTTTTAATCACAGGAATAGGTCACTAGTGTACGCAAGGATTAAAATGTCAACAGATAAGATATAGGAAGCGATGTTTACATGGATAGACTCACCCTCTTACAATACAATTAATTAAGATGATATCTGGAAATGAAACAAATATTTGATTTATCACCTTCAAACATCTCCCTTCTATTGTGGCTTACCAATTGTGAATCTATCTCAGATATTACTTCATGTACCAAAACCGAGCAATGGGGTAAAGAAGTAGACATTAACTTTCGGAATCATGGAAACATGGGTTGATATAATGAAAAAAACTGAGAAAGTCCCCCCCCTCCTAATTTGTTTGGATTTCCACCCGAAGTTCAACTTACGAAACACAGACACGGGAAATATTTTTTCTGATGAATTTTATTTGATCTTACTGCAACCGAGGGCAAAGCTACTAAAAAAATATAAAAGGCAAATTTGTCGTGAATTCCTCATCATTTTCAGTAGAATTCAAAGAAAATGATAAGAAATTCATGGCAAACTCACAACATTTATGGATACATTGGTATAAACCATGGCGTTATCTGCCTTTCCTGACCACCGATGACGGTAACTAAGAAGGTTGTTTGCTTTTCGTTGTGCAGAATGACACTCTGAAAAGTACTGAAAAGCACTAAGTGCTCTTTGCCGAGATCATGAAAGGCGATACATTTCAATTTGCAGGGGCAAGCTAGCTGACTTCTGTTTAGCAAAAAAAGGTCAGGAGTAAGATAACATTACAAACGTACCGTAAAATATATCGGAACAAAAGCAATACAAATATACTTAAAGATGGAACAAATGCTTGATTGTGAAGACAATCAGATTGATATTTTCAACTTGTTGTGGATTTTTTTGAGAAAAGCGAAATGTTTTCTATAGCCTTCCCTTGCTTTCAGTGTTTATTTTCATTGATTTTCCTTCAGTGATATGTGCACGTTTAATTGGTTAATCGTTAGCAGAGGTAAGGAAAAGATAACTGTGAAGTCCGGCTTTCAGCTTTAAGCTATCACCTCAACCTACAGTTCATTAATGAGATATTTGGTATAGCATTTACATGAACTTTGTTGAAGATACAAATCACATTGATTCTGAAACCCCTTACAAACCTACAACGCACGCGTGACGCCTCAATCCCAACGGTCAGTCCACAACGTTACAATCCTAGCACAACAATTACCCCAGGTTACACATTTGATAAATATATGTGCCGAAGAAAGCTACTTTGAATTAATTTTGTGCAAGATCCTCGCAGTAAAGAGCACTATTTAAGCAATGGTGAAAATCAGACCTGAAAAAATTCAGGCCTGTACGGGACTCGAACCACTGACCTCTACGATACTAGTGCAGCGCTCTACTAATTGAGCCAACTGGTTGGCCTGGATTGCTCCCGTTGGCTTGTTAGCTCAATTGGTAGAGCGCTGCACTAGTGTCGCAGAGGTCAGTGGTTCGAATCCCGTACAGGCCTGAATTTTTTCAGGTCTGATTTTCACTATTGCTTAAACAGTGCTCGTTACTACACTTTTCTATAACCGCAGTTCAGTTCTGATTCACGAATTTCATATTCGTTGTGTCTAAAGCTAATTTGAAAAGATTCTCTAGTCTTGACTGTATAATGGACATGTCCATCTTCAAATAGTTGCTCATGTTGTAATAAAAAGATTCCAAAAATGGAAGGAACGGAATGGAAATTTCAGAATTATCAAATTGAGGCCTGTGCAGCTGAACTACAAGGTTACAATTAATTCACCTTGAAGGACGAATATCACTATGTGTTTAGCTGCCGTTTTACGATTACAAAACCTTTTAACTGCCACATAGTCTTTCATTTAAGTACCACTGCCGTCAAAATCAGAGATCGCACTTATTTCATCATACTCTGCCCTTGCTGATATGTATCTCATGCCACGAACATTTTCCATCGTTCACATGATTTTGACAGGCGAAAGGTCTGTTGGACCATGAGCTCAAACTACTGATACACTTACGAAAGTTCTACGGCTGGAACAATTTCTCAAACTTCGAGAACTATGAAAAGCAAAACACTTCCTTCGAAGATTCGATTAGTTCAATTCTGATAGGACGATGTTTTCGGTTCCCATACAAAAAGCGTAGATTTAGTGATGAATAGGAACACCATCCACTGCACTCAGTGAGTCTCCTTGAAGGTTTCTGAGGGAGATATCCTTATCTTTGTTTTGATTTTAACTTCGCCTACTATTAAAAGCCTCAAAAATTGCCTTCCTGAATTCAGGCATTCTTAACGAGTAAATAACAGTATCTATAAAAGAATTGAAATATTGTAACAGTTTAAAGAAGTTCACTGCATCATATCAAACTTTCGGTTAGGATTTTGGCTGAACAATAAGTCAAGTTTTTGCTCCTTTTATGTCCTTGTCTATTGTTTGAAGGAAAGGGTTTCTATTGTTCGCAAGACCAAGGTTAGTAATCCCCGGCGCGAAGCCAGCTCACCGAGCGCGAAATTCAAATTTCTTCGGAAGCGGTTAGTGTTACAAACACAGCCTTTGTGGAGGAGGGTGTGGTGATGATTGTTGCAGCCTAGATACATCTAAAGGGGGTCTCTTAGTCGGAGCCGGCTAAGAGAGACCAAAACGGCTATTGGGACGAGAATGTTTCTGGGCACGCTACTACTCTTCCCAGTGGACGGGTGCACCCAACGAATTATTTTTGCCACTTTCAGAGTAATGTTGTGAGTTTGTTTCAAACCAATCACGTAGTACATTGAAAGGCACCAGACTTTTCCGTCTTACGTGATGTTTATTTAAAAACGTTACTCTAGAGCTCAAGGTGGAAAAAAATTCGTGGGTGTCGTAGTCTACAGGAAAGAGTAGTAGCGCTTTCGCAATCAAACTTGGAAGTCATTTGTATTTGAATAACAAACCGCTAGTTCACAGTCGAATCATTAAAGTGTCTGTTAAGTTGGCGCGTTATCATGCTAAGAACTCTAACGGTGAAACAAAGTTCAAATCCTCCGCTTTTCCCTTTCGCTCATTTTCCTTAACTCCATTTTATAACGTGCTATATGAATATAAAATTTGGGGCCAACTTAAGATACACGGAGGGCGGACAGTAAAAACTGATTTTGAAAACTAGCTCTTTTGCCGGCAGTTTAGATTATTCAACCACTGGCGCAATAAATATAAAAGAAAAAATGTTGTCCGCAAGCCGAAGGGAACAAAGAAAGTGTGATTTCACACCTTTTTACGTTTGAGTGACCTCACTTTTCCTTCGTCTTGTGCGCAAAACTTAGCACGCTAACAGCAAATTAAGGCTCTATTCGTCCGCTTTTCCCCTTCCCCGTTTTCGTTAACGCCATTCATAACCTGCCATACGTTTACAAAAGTTAAAAAGAGAGCGTTTTTCTCTGCCTATTATTGTAGTGACCTGTTGCAGTCACACCCAGTGTCGCATGCTGGGTAGCTGACTTTCTTACAGATCGCCAACAACGTGTCAAGCTGTCCAGGGACTGTTTCTAGGAATGGGGCCTGGTGCCTGCTGGCGTCCAGCAGGGCACTAAACTGGGGCCTTGGTTATTTATCCTAGTGATAAATGACCTGAGGGTCCGTGGATTCTGTTCCTGGAAATATGTGGATGACACTACTGTAACCAAGATCGTGCCGCGAGGAGAGTCGAGCAACATCCAAAGTGCAGTTCACGCTGTTCAAACCTGGTCGTGCGATCAACAAAGGCAGCTAAATGCCGATAAGTGTAAAGTCATGAACATCGACTTTAAGAAGAACAAGCATGTTTTCGAGCCTGTAACCGTTAATGGGAAGGATCTCTCTGTTGTTAGCTCTGCCGAGATCTTAGGTGTGACGTTCTCTAATGATCTTACGTGGAATGATCATATATCTGAGGCTATCGAGAAAGCCGATAAGAGATTATATTTCTTGGTTCTCCTCAGGAGAGTGGGAGTGAAACCTCGTAATATAATCAAATTTTATTGCACTTTTATTAGACCTGTCATGGAATATTGTTCGCCTGTTTTTTACGATGCATTGCCCGAGTATTTAAGCAATGATATTGAACGAGTACAGAAAAGGGCGTCAAGTATCATCTTACCAGATTGTTCTTACAATCTATGCTTGAACTAACTATAATTTAGACACCTTGCAGTCTCAGCGCGAGGAACAGTGATGTTAACTGTTTGATGCAATCTCTAATGACCACAAACTATCTCACTTATTTCCTACCAATCATGTAAACAATTATAACCCTAAGGAGAATTAAAAAGTACGACCTCCCTAGCGTGCGCACCAAGCGTTTACAGCGGTCCTTCATCCCGAGCATGTGCCGACTAGCAAACAACACTGTGTGAATATTCGATTGATCAAGCCCGCCTAG